AGGCAGAGAGAAAAAATAGGAGAAGAAATCTGGGGAGAACAAGGACATCAGGGGCCAGTCACCTAGCTACCCAGGCAAACAGGGAGTAAGGGTGAAAGTAAGAAAGACAAAAGCCCAAAGGCAAAAGGTAGATGTGTTAATTTAGGAAAAGCTGGTTTGACAAGCAAAGTTCACGCCGAGCATCACCTATGCATAAGGCTCTATGTGAGATTTATTTGGGAGCTGGGTGGCGGGGCCTCCAAGAGAGTAAAAAACAAAAGAGTAAGAGTGAAAAGCAACAGACAACACTTCGGCATTCTAACATAGTGTCTGAAAAAAAGAAAATCCAACAACAAAGCCTAAAGCAGATAACTAAAACAAAAGAGGGCCCAACTTTTTTTTGCATAATAAAGAGTAATATTAAAATCAGATGTGGTTGAAGAAACTGGTATTGGGCTGGAAGTGGTGATGCACACCTTTAATCCAGTACTTAGGAGCAGAAAGATCTTTGTGAGTTCAAGGCCAGCCTGGTCTACATAGCCAGGGCCGCACAGAGAAACCCTGTCTTGAAAACAGCAAGGACAACAAGAGGAAGAAAACACATGTCTCAGAGGTTTATGAGGGTTTAAGTCTCTTAACCTCTGTGTTTTCCCAACAGCGAGCTCTGTTTCTACTTACAGTGACTTCCAAAGTTTCCCTTTTTGCTGAGTTTCCATTGCCATGGAAGACTCAGGGAAGGAGAAGCCAATGTGTTTGTCAGACTGAGAGTCATTCATTAGCAGAAGTTTAGAGAAGACTCATTCCAGAAAGATCCTAAAGAATGATTCTCATAGTATCATGTTTCAAGGCACATGGGAAAGCCTGTCTTTCTGCTGGATCTTTGGGTCTCAACTCTGCCCCTGAACCCCTCATTCCTACACACCTGGGTGCACGGTGGCTGCTGCTTGTCTCTCCCCGTCTGAAGGGTCTGGTCTTTGCTCCAGAAATGTCACCAGGTGTGGCTTAGAGACAGCAAGACCTGTTTGTAGTGAAAAGGGAACGAGATTGAGTGTTCTTTTGGTTGGAATTGACATGTCCCTTACAGTACATGGCATATACGGAAAGATATTATGTAATAAATGTTTGCAGAATTTCAGTTCCTTAAATGTCTTCTAACAGGTTCATCATTACAATATGTAAAAAAAACCTCACATTCAGATTCTATGTTTTATTTAATAGGAAAAAATTTAATTCTGAATTGTGAAACATTTTAATTAACAAGAGTACTCAATGTCTCAGGCCATTGAATTTCTAGCAGTTTCACTCAAGTGAAGGAAACATATCCAACACAGAAAGGTTAAATGAAAAAGGAGAAAAATGGGGCTGGGGAGATGGCTCAGTGGTTAAGAGCATTGTCTGCTCTTCCAAAGGTACTGAGTTCAATACCCAGCAACCACATGGTGGCTCACAACCATATGTAATGAGGTCTGGTGCCCTCTTTTGGCCTGCATAAATGTTTGAGTGTGTCAGATCTTAAAAGTACAGAGAGTGGAGCTCTTAATTGGATGCTGGGAATTGAATCCCAGTCCTGTAGAAGAGCAGCCAGCGCTCTTAATCACTGGCTCATCTCTTCAACCCCGAAACTATTGTTTTTTTAAACCCAACAACTTTATTTCATGCACATTGGTATAACGATGTCAGATTCTCTTGAACTGGAGCCACAGACAGCAGCAAGCTGCCATGTGGTTGCTGGGAATTGAACCCGGGACCTCTGGAGGAGCAGTCAGTGCTCTTAACAACTGAGCCATATCACCAGCGCCCTACCCCGAAACTATTCTTAATACAGCAATCTCCGAAATTCTTCAGAAAACAAAGGATATGATTCCTGCTGTTGAGATGCTCCCAATAGATACTGAACAGATGAAGTAAGCTACAAGTTGATGGTGAAATAAGAAGTCACTATAGAGGAGATGCTCACCCAGGAATTCAAGGTGGCTGTAATTCTCCAGCATCACGTCCCTGTACAGATTCCACTGAGCAGGCTCCAGACACTCCCTCTCTTCTGGAGAGAACTCGATGGCCACATCCCAGAAGGACAACATTTCCTGAAATAAAGATCAATGAATGATACCACGCTTTAATTAAAGCCATTGATAATATAAATAAATACCGAGATGCATTGAGCTTGATAGTTCTCCTGTCAACTTGACATTAGTTGGGGTCATTTGAGGAAAACAAAACCTAATGGAGAAAATGCCTCTCTAAGACATTTCTATAGGAAGCCTAGAGGATATCTTCTTATATCTAGCTGTATATGAGACAGCACAGCCCACTATGGGTGGTGCCCACCATGACCAGGAAGTCCTTTATGGTACAGAAAAGCAGACTGGGCAANAAAAAAAAAACCCATATTCAGCTTCTATGTTTTACTTAATGGGAAAAAAAATTAATTCTGAATTGTGAAACATTTAATTAACAAGAGTACTCAATGTCTCAGGCCATTGAATTTCTAGCAGTTTCACTCAAGTGCAGGAAACATATCCAACACAGAAAGGTTAAATGAAAAAGGAGAAAAATGGGGATGGGGAGATGGCTCAGTGGTTAAGAGCATTGTCTGCTCTTCCAAAGGTACTGAGTTCAATACCCAGCAACCACATGGTGGCTCACAACCATATGTAATGAGGTCTGGTGCCCTCTTCTGGCTGGGAATTGAATCCCAGTCCTCTACAAGAGCAGCCAGTGCTCTTAACCACTGGCTCATCTCTTCAGCCCCGAAACTATTCTTAATACAGCAATCTCCCAAATTCTTCAGAAAACAAAGGATATGATTCCTGCTGTTGAGATGCTCCCAATAGATACTGTACAGATGGAGTAAGCTACAAGTTGATGGTGAAATAAGAAGTCACAATAGAGGAGATGCTCACCCAGGAATTCAAGGTGGCTGTAATTCTCCAGCATCACATCCCTGTACAGATTCCACTGAACAGGCTCCAGACATTCCCTCTCTTCTGGAGAGAACTCGATGGCTACATCCCAGAAGGACAACATTTCCTGAAATAAAGATCAATGAATGATACCACGCTTTAATTAAAGCCATTGATAATATAAATAAATACCGAGATGNCACATCCCAGAAGGACAACATTTCCTGAAATAAAGATCAATGAATGATACCACGCTTTAATTAAAGCCATTGATAATATAAATAAATACCGAGATGCATTGAGCTTGATAGTTCTCCTGTCAACTTGACATTAGCTGGGGTCATTTGAGGGAAACAAAACCTAATGGAGAAAATGCCTCTCTAAGACATTTCTATAGGAAGCCTAGAGGATATCTTCTTATATCTAGCTGTATATGAGACAGCACAGCCCACTATGGGTGGTGCCCACCATGACCAGGAAGTCCTTTATGGTACAGAAAAGCAGACTGGGCAAGTCAGTAAGCAGTGTTCTGTGGCCTCTGCTCCAGTAGTTGCCTCAGGTTCCTGCCTTGACCTCCCTCAGTGATGGACTGTTACCTGAAGCTGCAGCCTAAAATAAAACCTTGCTTCTCCCAGCTTTCCTTCATCATGATCTTTACCACAGGTGTCAGGCCCCGGGCATCTCCCTCTGTCTGTCTCCTACATTTCTTCTCTTACTTGCTCTGTCTGCCCCAAAGTCCCACCTGTATCCCCTGCCTAGCTATTGGCCATTTAGGTTTTTTTTAGACAAATCTGTGCCTTAGGTAGACAAAGTAAACATAGGTAAACACCACATCTTTACATAAACAAATAATCCACAAACAAGTGGAAAATCTCTTTACAAAGTTAAACCAATATTCCCAAACAAGGACATCCAAGTGTTGGCTTCCTGATGTCACTAGACAATGGAAAAAAACCACCACTCCTCCAACTTACGTGCCTTCTGATTCTTTACACTGAACATGGCTGCATCTTACATGAGTTACAATGCATCTCAGTAAACAGAGCAATGACATCAGGTTGGTCACCTTTGCTAGAAATCACTTCCAATTCCACCAGTGCTGCCACGATTGGCAAGTGTATTTCTTCTCTGAACAATTACTAAATAAAATACACAGATGTCGTTTTTCACTCTTCTAATTGCAACTTCTCTCCTGTGCCCCAACTCTCCGTCTCAAATATGAGGTGCATTCCTCTCAAATTATTGTTACATACACACAGTACAAAACTGCATATAACTATATTTAACTTAATTATGAATGGCCTATTCTGTTCACTGTTGCCTGTGTGTATGTTTTGGGCACTGACCACTTGTTACTGGATGAATAGTAAGTGGGCTCATCCCCGTGGAAGACTAGTTCTCCCTACATTAGCAGTCCTTATGTGCCTATACCTCCGTGTGGAGAGCAGATGCCCAGTGTAGGGGGTCTTGTGCCATTGTTCAGGGTTTGTTCAAGCAGTCATATAGTTGGGGTATCATGGGAGCAGCTTCCCTTCCCTTTCTAGAAGGCACAACCTCACACCTTCCTGGACACCTGACTCTCATAATCAATATGTTCCCTCTAAAGAGATATTCCCTAACCTTATGTGCAGGAATTGCGGTGTCGAGTATCTACTGGGTCAGGGCAGCGCACGACAATAGTTCTCTTCACTTTGTAAGTTTTTGTATTTTTCTGTAATGCTCTCTGCATTGCAGCGAGGAAGGTCCTTGCAGAGAAGTGACAGCTACGCTTACTTCAACGTAGATCTGAGGATGAGAGTTCAGAATGCAGCTAGGGATGATGGGGGTTCAGTGGCGTTGGTACACTCTCCTGTACGGTTTAAGACCTAACGTGATCAGAGACATCTCCTAAGCATTGCCTTAGTTCTTCTGTCCCCTGTAAATCCCATTGGCAGCTGCTGCTAATGCCAAGATGTGGGAGACACTGGGGCACCTTTAGGGATGAGGCCACACTGTTCATAGTTGTTCCAGAGATAGAACAGCTAAGCAGGGCTATTTATTGCTTCTCTCCCTTGGAGCTCACAAAGCACCTTCCAGTACTAAGAAAATTCACCCTTAGGCAGGAGACCTTCAGGCCAGGCCCAGCTCCAATTCCCTGAGTCTTGTGTCTGAAATGTGTGGTGGTTTCACCACAGGGAGGGGGCAGGAGCCTATCATAACAAAACTTTAGGGGCAACTGAAACTTATCTGCCATAAAGAATGACTACATAGCAGGGCAGTGATAGTGTACACCTTTAAGCCCAGCACTTGGGAGGAGGAGGCAGGCAGACCTCAGAGAGTTGGAGCACAGCCTGAACTGTTTGCTACACAGAGAAACCCTGTATTACAAACAAACAAACAAACAAACAAACAAACAAATAAAGGCTACATAGAAAATTATCTTTAAGTAAAGAGCAGAGATGAAATTCAGTGAAGGGCCAGCAAATCTTTAAGACACAGGCAGAATGAAGCAATCTGGTAATTAAAACACCCAGTATTTCTCAAGGAAAAGAAATTGCACTGCTTTGAAAGCTTCTTTGTAGCGAGTGCAGAATGTTATCACTTCTAGAAGTGAAAAATTTGACCCCAGGCTTTTCTAACCAAGGCAGTGGTTCTTAACACGTGAGGCAGGACCTCTTTGGAAACTTTCATCTCCAAAAATATTTGCATTACAATAAACAACCTTAGCAAAATTACAGTTCTGAAGTAGCAAGGGAAATAATTTTATGGTTAGGGGTTACCACAATATGAGGAACTGTATTAAAGGGTCACAGCATTAGGAAAGGTAAGACTGCAGAACTACAGTGTTACAGAAGAGAGGAAAAAAATGCCCGGAGGTGGTGGCACACGCCTTTAATCTTAGCACTCAGGAGGATCGCTGTGAGTTTGAGGCCAGTCTGGTCTACAAGAGCTAGCTCCAGGACAGGCTCCAAAACTACAGAGAAACCCTGTCTCAAAAAACAACAACAAAGAAAGAGAGAGGGAGGGAGGGAGGGCCAGAAAGAGGGAGAGAGGCAGAGAAGAAGCAACACAGAGAGAGGGAGGGAGGGAGGGAGGGAGAGAGGGAGGGAGAGAGGGAGGGAGGGAGGGAGAAAGCGTACTAAAGAGCAAGAGCCCAGAGAAGACGAAGGTGGAAACATTCACCTCTGAGAGAAACTGACAAGCTCCCCAAAGCAGAAGTAACTGTAGGAATCACTCACCATATTGCCCTGCACAGCTGCCACAATTCTAAGTAGAGAAGTGTCTGCCATATAGGATCTGCCATGGAAACATGAATTACACAGTTATAGTTTTAGTCTCAAAATAAAAATCATATGCTTTGCAATACACATTAGATGTCTAGATGTATTTGTGGATTTTAATAGTCTGTCCATACATTGTTTCTGAGTCTTCTTAAAGCAATAGTGTCTGGAGATTATCCAATATAGATTTGGGTCATGGACTCTCACAGATCTGACTTAATTCCATCTAGAGACCACAAAGGAGCCAATGGAACACAGATCTGAAAAGAGGTGGCCATGCACCAGACACACCTTTCATCTCAGAAATGTTGCTTCATTCCATAATGTCTATGGAGGACACTAGAGCAGACACTTTTTTTTTGTTGTTTTGTTTTGTTTTGTTTGAGACAGGGTTTCTCTGCAGCTTTGGAGCCTGTCCTGGAACTAGCTCTTGTAGACCAGGCTGGCCTCAAACACAGAGATCTGCCTGCCTCTGCCTCCCAAGTTCTGGGATTAAAGGCGTGTGCAGACACTTTTATAACCAGGGTTGACAGTGTAATAAAAACCTGTGCTGCTCAGTTATGTTCTTTGTATCTGTTTGCTCCTGTTCAAATCTTTTGCAATGTCTCTCTCCATGGCCTCTGACATAATCATATAGATCAACAGGCACCCAGCACCTCCGCTCTAGAGTTTTCCAGAGATGACGTGTCTAACACAGCACTAGTCATACATGCTGTAAAGACAAGTAACTTCTTCCCTCACAATGACATTAGAATACAATGAGAGACGCTGAGGAGGAAAGACACAGGACTGTCAGCAAGGGGAACTGGACTGGATCTGTGGAAGAGCAGGACCCACTGTTAGCAGTTTGCTTTACTGCTTGGCTACGCGGTGCCCCATGTGAAGGACAGTGCAGGAAGTGGTTTTGTTCTGGCTCACTGTAAGAAGCCTCTGCTCCCAGTGGAACCTCTGCTGTAAGGACAGGGTAGCTGCAGCTGCAGAAAAAGACCCAGGAAGGTAACCACAGAAGTCACACCAGTCAAGAACTGCAGAAGGGAAATTAAGAAATAATGGGAGGAGCAAACTGGAAGAAAATAGAGAAGACCGGAAAGCTGCATCAGGTCATGACAGCAGCTAACACAGATTAATATCCAGAAAGAATAAACATTCAGTGGCTGGAGAGATGGCACAGCATTTAAGAGCACTGGTTGCTCTTCCAGATATTCTGAGTTCAATTCCCAGCAAGCACCTGGTGGCTCACTACCATACTTAATGAGTTCTGGTGCCCTCTTCTGTCCTGCGAACATATGTCCAGACAGAACACAGTATACAAATATATAAATAAGAAGCCAGCCTGGCCTACAAGAGCTAGTTCCAGGACATGCTCCAAAGCTACAGAGAAACCCGTTCTCAAAACAAAACAAAAAACCAACCAACCAACCAAACAAAACATATATATAAATAAATCTCAAAAAAAGGAATAAATATGTTAAAAAATGGAGAAATATTCAAACAACACAAAGTGAATACTCGCTCACAGGATAAATGCAAATAAGTATGTAATCCCTA